TTTTTTTTTTTTTTTTCCTCAAGTCTAGCACTCTACCACTTTAAGCCACAGTTCCACTTCTGGTTTTCTGGTGGTTAATTGGCGATAACAGTCTCATGGACTTTCCTGGCCAGGTTGGCTTTGAACCGAGATCCTCAATAGGATCCTGAGTAGGATTACAGGCATGACCCACCAGCACCTGGCACTGACTTTCTTTCTTTCTTTTTTTTTCCAGGTAAGGGGTAGGTTTATTCATCATTCTGGCTGGCACCAGGCCATGTTGGCCCTCCACGTGGCTGGGAAAGGCCTGGGAAAGAGAGAGAGCTGGGAAAGAGAGGGCTGAGAAAGAGAAGAGAGCTAGAAAAAGAGAAGAGAAGGAAAGAGCTGAGAAAGAGCTAGAAAAGAGCAGAGCAGAGAGGAGCACTGACTTTCTTGAAATAACTTTTTTTTTTTGGGCCAGTTCTGGGGCTTGAACTCAGGGCCTGGGCACTGTCCCTGAGCTTCTTTGTTGCTAGCACTCTCCCACTTGAGCCACAGCACCACTTCTAGCTTTTTCTATTTATGTGGTTCTGAGGAACTGAAACCAGGGCTTCATGTGCTAGCATCATATGCTAGGCAAACACACTTTGTCTTCCCAGCTCTTTTTCTCTTAAGGAAATCACTTGTTACCTAATTTCTGTAAAAGCTATAGTACATCTGACCATGTCCATTAGACTTAACAATCAGAGAATCATAAAGGGTTGCGGAATGACAGCAGCAAACAGGGACTGAGACAGCAGGAACAGGACAAGTGTTGGGTAGATGATGCTGGACACACAGGGAAGCGTCTAGACGATGCATGTTGACCAGCTAGGGGTGAGGGAGACCATCCTACCCAGCTGCCCCCCAGTGTTCTATCCAGAGCCAGTAGGACTTGACCTGGATCACGATTGGGCAGAGACATAGTTGGTGTGGCTGTCAGGAGACCTGGCTGCCACAGCTAGATGCTCCCAGAGCCTACTTGGGTTATCCTGCAAGTTCTCTCTTCTGGTACAAGTAAGCTGTCCTAAGAAGGGGCACGTGCATGTGCCGTGGTCTGTTCAGAGGGAAGGAGTGTTCTAGAACTATGCTTTTTATCACCATTTTTACTGTAAGAACATTGGGGGCCCTGAGGCGGAGTGGTAGAGTGCTCACCCAACATGCACAAGGACCTGGGACTCGTCCCCAGCACGGAGGGCTGTGTGTGGCGCATGCTAGTGTGTGTCCTCACTCACTAGGAATGTATTTTCATCTGTCTGGATGAGTTGGTTTTTGTTCATCTTGGGAGATTTGGTCTGTTGCCAGACTGGCTTTCAGCTTCTAGGCTCGAGTGATCCTCTCACCTGAGCCTCCTGAGGAGCTGGGGCTGTGTGCACCACCACCACACACGGAGAGCTGCCTGGAGTGTTTAGGTGAATGTTAGCTCTGGTTTATTTATTTCACTTTTAAACATACCTTTAAAATATTATTTTTTTTCATTTTTGTCGGTTCTGGGGCCTGAACCCTGGGCCTGGGCGCTCTCCCTCAGCTCTTCAGCTCAAGGCTAGCGCTCTACCACTTGAGCCACAGCGCCACTTCCTGCTTTTTCTGCTTATATGGTGCTGAGGATTAGAACCCAGGGCCTCAGGTATGCAAGGCAAGCGCTCTACCACTGAGCCACCTTCCGAGCCTGAGTTTAATATTATTTTAAAGACAAGTTCTCTCCTACAACTTCAGCTTTCTGAATGTTGGGATTACAGTCATGGACCACCACCCCTGGCTGAACATATGGTTTTGATATTGACAGAAGAATGTTATCAGATATGTCATTCTTTGGATGATGTCATTTTTTCCCCAAAAATGCTTTCCAACCACTAAAGTATCTGTAGATTTCCTTTCCTTTTTTTTTTTTTCCTTGTTTTTTTTGTTGGTCATGGGACTTGAACTCTGGATCTATAAAACATTGTCTCTGAGCTTTTCAGCTCAAGGCTAGTGCTCTACTACTTGAGCCACAGCGCCACTTCCAGTTTTCTGCTGGTTAATTGTGGATAAGAACCTCACAGACTTTCCTGTCTGGGCTGGCTTTGAACCGTGATCCTCAGATCTCAGCCTCTTGACTAGCTAGGATTACAGGCGTGAGCCACTGACGTGGGGCTGTAGAGTTTTAAGCTGTTTTCAACAGCTACCCTGCAGTGTTTGCTGTCAGGGCCAGGCGTGGTAGTTTAAAGTGGGAGAGGCATGGGGATTACCAGTTCCAGACAGCCTGGGACACATGGTGACCAGCTCTAAGACAAAAGGAAAAAGGTTGTCAGGCCTGGGTGTGTAGCTTAGTGAGGGAATGCTCGCTGCACGCACAAAGACCTGCCTGGAAGGTCCTAGTACTTCACAAACAGTGCAAAATAAGTTTGTGCTTGAGCTTGATGAGGAAATTCCTTTTTCTTTCCTGTTCTTTGGTAAGATGGGCTCCCGCTGTGTATTCCAAGCTGGCCTTCAACTCAATAGTCCTCAGGCTCATCCTCCTAAATGTTGGGACCACAGCCACTGTCACCTCCAGCTAGGAAATTTCTTGTATGAGAGCTGATAGGAGGAAAGGAATTAAATGTGGTATTATGTTTTTAAATTAACTTTTCTTTTTTTTTTTTGAATCTTTTTTTTGGGTCCGCTCGTGGTGCTTGAACTCTGGGCCTCAGCTCTTCAGCTCAAGGCTAGCCCTTTACCACTTGAGCCACAGCACCACTTCCGGCCTTTTTTCCCTGCTTATGTGGTGCTGAGGAATGGAACCCAGGGTCTTAGGCATGCAAGGCAAGCGCTCTACCACTGAGCCACCTTCCCAGCCCCTTAAATTAAGTTTTCTCTGGAATTGTTCCCATCGGAAATATTTGAATCATGAGTCTAGAAACCGAAAGCTGCAGTCTGTACAAGATCTTCAAAATTATCATATCTTAAGGCCAACATGGGGTATTTAAGGAGACTTTTCAGAAATAAAATAAACACTTAGATTTTTTTTTTACTTGAAGATTCACTTAAACAAATGTAGAAAAATCATCAAGTATAATTGTCCTCAAAATTTTAAATTTAATCTAGTTTTTATGTTCTTAAATACAACCTAAGAGAAAAGTGCACTAGTCTTGCAGCATGTGCAGTTGTCCTTGGAGACGGTGTTGGCGTACAGGACCTGTCATGCGCCTGTGCGCCTGGCCACACTCCCTGTGCCCGCCTTGCACAGAATCCACAGGCAGTGGAAAGTCTCTGATGTGGATTTTCTCCTATGCTCTTCCAGGTATTGATGGGGCTCCAAAAGTTTATCGGTTCATTATTTCCATGAAGATAACAAAATAGAATATCACCTCTTGTATCTCTGTGAGTGAGGCACTTGCGTGTTAAGAGTTTCAGCTTGGGGCTGGGAAGCTGGCTCAGTGGTAGAGTGCTTGCCTTGCAAGCATGAGATTCCTCAGCACCACATAAGCAGAAGAAAAACAGAAGTGGCGCTGTGATTCCAGTGGTAGCGCGCTCGCCTGGAGCGTTTCAGCTTAGCTCTGGCTTTTCTTCCCACCTGGTCTTGCCATGGTCTCTAGGTGTCCGCGATGAAGTGTGGGCTCTTGCCCATCTCCCCGGAGGCGCTCTCTCTTGGAGAAGTGGCTTATCATGACTACCACGGCATTCTGGTTGATGAGGAGGAAAAAGTCTTGATTCAGAAAAATCTCGGGCCTAAAAGCAAGGTCAGTGGGCATCTCATCAGGAGTTCAATAATAGAGGAGGAGCACGGGGAGTATCCGTCTTCTCGCCTAGATCCACAGAGCTGCACTTTCCCCCCAGGTTCTTATTCTCCGGAATCACGGGCTCGTGTCAGTTGGAGAGAGCGTCGAGGAGGCTTTCTATTACATCCATAACCTCGTGGTCGCGTGTGAGATCCAGGTAGGTGATGGCAGTCCATCCGGTCTGGGCCATTTCCAGGATTCATGTAGATTTTCTGATACTTGTCTAGCAGGCTGAACCTTTGAGCTCTCTCTGCTAATGATGAGCTCATAGATTGGAACTTGAGAGGGACGAATGCCATTTCAGTGATTTAAATTAAATGGTTCCTGGGCTTTGGACTGTTTTGTTTTTCATTTTTCACATATATAAGTGGCAAGCATTTAAGGCATAGTAGTGTGTGCCAGGCTCTCAAGTATGTCCTATGTACATGACACCTTTTGACTCATCTGGAGCCCAGAGGTGGAGAGTCGCAGGCTGGCCTGTGACACCCCATCTGGCCCACCTAGACCAGGCCCACACTGGTCACCGACTAATGGCTGTGGACTAACCACAAAGGCGCTTTGTGTGTCTGTTCCTCTGCTAAGTGTGAGCACTTAGTATGGACCAGTGCTGTTATTGTCCAGCTTACAATCTAGGGATTTGCTTTCTTTAGAAACCCACAGAGTGGGCTGAGAAGGTGGCTCAGTGGTAGAGTGCTTGCCTTGCATGCATGAGGCCCTGGGTTCGATTCCTCAGCACCACATAAGCAGGAAAAAAAAAAA